GAAAAAACGCCACAATTGGCACCACCAAATCATAGTTCTTGAGATCTGCTCTAATCTGAGCAGGTGATTTCCGTGGCTACTGAAAACGTTTCTTCGTGGTGCTGGTTCCGAAAGGAAATGCAAGTTTCCAATTACGAGGTTTGAGTGGTTACAGTGTCCGCTTTCGGGGCCACAGAATGACCGTAAGGTAGTTCAGAATGCCGTGCCCAAAATAGGATCGGGGATTCTGCAAACGACACGTGTCTGAGGCTGCGTGTTTATGTGGATTTTTTCACTGCGCAGACCTCAGGAAATTTGTTGATTCCTTCCAGATGGTGAATGTGTGCGAGGTAGGCAATTTAAGTGAATTTCCTGTGATAATTTCTTCGACAAAACAGTTGTACTGGGTCGAATACGCCATCGACATCATCGCCAATATCGTAGTGGAAAATGAGATATTAGGACCTCAAATTTTGGCCATCCCGGGACACAAACCACACATTTCTAGCCAGATGGCAATAACCAGAATCTGAAGGGCGAGAGCAATCACTTGTCCACAAAAAAATCGAACTTTATTTTATCACCATCCTCCTCTCGTTATAAATGAAAAAAGGTTGGCGATAAAAGGTAGATGATGCGACAAATGTGAGAATTCACTTTTTTACGTCCAGAACTTTGCTTAGACGACGGAAGAAAAGAGGAAATGCCGTAGAAACACGGTTCAGTTCATCCCCTTTTGTCTATACATGCGGAGCCAGCTTACTGAGTTTCGAAGTGAGCACGTTTGCTTTAAATAGCAATCTCTTGGGTGGATAATAGTAATCGGGAAAGAAAATTACCAATCGCCCAATAGCATGACAGGAATTTTTTGATTGGCCGGTTTCCTCTGATTGGAGCATTTATCTAGCCAATCCTGGATGCAGTTGAGTAATTTCTGAGCAATCAAGCGCACACACCCGCACTAAATTGTGATAGGATGAGACGGACACAACACCCACAGTCCGCCCAATCAAAAAAGCGATTGGACGAACCAACCGCGGACAACTGAGTCGATAAGCCAGAGCGACTCACAGTTTGAGCAATAATGTGTCCACAGGCAACGCACTTCTCAGCCATTCGCTGGAATCCACAGTACTGAAACAGGCAAAAAAAGGCGCATAAGGGAAATCCGGCGCGAATGTGCGTCACTAGGGCGACGTAGACGCTCACCAGGTAGTCGTCTTCGCAGTAAATTTTGTCCTGGTCCTTGTAGAAGGTTTTCCCGCGAAGGGTTCTCTCTAAACACCGATATAACAAGAACGCGGTCATTAGCGTTACGCGAGAGAGAAAAAAAAAGCACCGCAAGAAATGCCGTTTCATCATGTAACCAGTTGCACAAACACGCACACACGCACACACACGCGTGTGTGTGCGTGTGTGCGTGTTTGTGTGGAAAAATCTACAGCACACCATCACCATCAGCCTCGGTATTGCCCACTAGGAGCATAAATTGCGCGTTAAGGAATGCGTGTTTCAAAACACACTTGTTCATTCGTGTGCATTATGTAACGAGGGAAAGGAGGAGGAGGAGGAGGAGGAAGCATTAGGAAGAATGCACACGCAAATATTTGCAGGCGGAAGAAGAATGCACCTACACGCACACGTGCATGCGCGCACCCCATTGGCTGACACGTCAAAAACAATCAAGGAAGCCTCCTGATTGGTCGTTGAGCATTGACCACTACCGCTGCCGCTAAATAGGCGCCGATTTGAGTGTGTGTGTGTGTGCCTTCGAAAAAGGCGCTCCCAGAGAAACGCAAAAGAACACCAATCTAGTTGTTATAATCTAAATAGGCCTTTAAAATAGATAATGACCGTGATCGTTGTCAAGGTAAGCGAAAATTCGAATTGGGTGAGGTTAACGAGAGAGGTTAGTTTGGTGGGGTGTTCTCATCGCCCATTGGCTGCAACGAGGTTGCTTTCATGTTCCAGTCGATTTGCCAAACCGATCGATAATTGTGGGGAACAGAGTGGTGGGCTGGGGGTCACGTCAAGTGCTCCAGTGGGACGCCTCATCCGTGTGGTGTGTAAAACTCAAACTGACGCGAATGTATGCAGGACAAAAAAAACCAAGAGAAAATAATCGCCACGCGAAATTTGCAAATGTTCATACGCACACGTGTTTTTGAGGTGAATGTTCTTTAGTTTACGACAGCAGCAGCAGCAGCAGCAGCGGCAGCCAAGTGCACGAGAAAGACGCGTGAGGAGGTGGGAGGGAAGATGGCGCGCACGAGACTTCCGACTTTGTCTACCTCGTCAGACCGCCCCACCCCACCGCCCGATGAAAAGGCCAGCGGCATTGCGATATCGCGCGAGCGCGCGAGCAAAGCAATTTATCACGAAATTCCCCGCGCCCTCGTCTCGAGGCCTCACCGACAAACGACGCTAAAGAGCACCGGCAGTTTACGCATGCGAAAACAACTGTTGTTAGGCAACTACGGTAACTGGTGCCACGCCGATCAACGAGGGATATTTCATACAAAGGAAGAAGAGAAGACAGAGGAGGAGGAGGAGGAGGAGAAATGAAGAATAATGTTACTTGCTTTGAATGGAAAACGGACTGGGTGGTAGCTTAGGGTGAGCGTTTCGCTGTAGGGGTTTAGGAAAGAGAGAGAGAGCAGGACGATGTCCCCTAGGCAACACTTTGTCATGCGCTGAGTGGAATACAGCTCACTACAGACACTACGATGCCCCAAATGCTCCAAGTCACTGCGACCACAGCAAAGAATACACAGATAAGAGTGATTTGGAAGTGTTGACGCTCTAATGGGTTCAAGTTCACGAAATAGCGATTTCGACTTCCAAGCAAGTTCCTTAGCTTTACTGTTTAGCGTTGCAGTTGCGGTTTAAGTGCCATCGGGCCTTTGTCTTCAACTGCGAGATAATGGAATGGATTCGATAGGCGTAAAATTTGGCGGGTCTTAAAAAATAGCACACGTGTCATAGGGCTTCGCCTACGAAGCGATCCTCTGAGGTGAATACTTGCCTAACCACGGCAACAAAATCACCACACCAATGAGCAAGCATTTTGTGCCAGTTGGTGTCGGAGCGTTAATTTGCGATTCCACCATGGCAACGAAGAAACCAACCAATGTGAATCCACGCAACCGCGCCAAAGCGTAAAATCTCGATGACCTTGAAAATGTCCACCGCCAAGCCTTCTAAACTGGTTCCTGCACAGGGAACAGCCCCACACGCGCGATTGTGGGTGTACGGGGCGCGATATTTAGCCAGGACATGATGATAAACCAGTCGCAGTGGGGAGGAGGGGGTTTGAGAGAGGTCACAAGGAAATGCAAGGACTTACGACAGCAACAGCAGACGAAGCAGAAGTCGTGGTAGAGGCAGCCCATGGCCTGGCACGCGGAGGCGGCGTTGGTGATGCGGGCGCCGCACTTGGAGCAGACGCCTATCGCGGCGGCGGGGGAGGGGGAGGAGGACGAGGAGGCGGAGGAGGAGAGGTGAGATGCCCGCCGCAGCAGCACGGGGTGGTGATGGAGCACGTCGGAGGGGGGCGACAGCGAGGCCGGGGTGGAGGAGAGACGAGTTCGGTGAGCATCGGAAGACAGCATTTCGCCCTGGTGTTTTCTACCACACCACCAACCACCTGACACTACTACCACGACTACCACCACTACTACAGGCACTGGGTGTGTGCACTGCGTCTATGAGTGTGCGTGCGTGCGTGTGTGAATGAACGGAGTGCGTGCGCGAGCCTCCTCGTCCTATTGGTGGGGTGATGATGTGTGCGCTTGCGGTCTGGCCAATCAGCGTTGAAAGAGCAAAAGGCGCCAGTGTGCGCCCACGCGCACAGCAGCAATTACTGGCACCTAATCGACGACGAGCCTAATTGACTTGGACACTGTTTGTCCCCTTCGAAAGTAGGGGGGACAATGCCAAACAAGCAGCACTCTGCGCTTTATGCGTGGGTGTGTAAAATAAGCCTCTTTGACCAATTGATTCAAAACCGGGACTCACGAACACCAAGTGGGCGGAGTTTGATTCTGCAAGCCGTCTACCAACCATTTCTAAACACTCCATGATTGGTTTTGTGCCAATCCAATATCGGCCAATTGCTTCAGTTGCTGTTGATCACGCGAAAAACGGCCTTTTACTACTAGAACTAGACCTCATAACATGTTTATACAAACTAATTTCGCTGAAAATTTTGCTGCGGGAATTTACAAAACACGGCCACTGACCGAGTTGATTGAAGCCCACATTTGATGCCCAATGCACTTAAACACAAATCAAAATACGCAAGTTGTGAGTACCTACACACACCGTGCCTAGAAATCTCATTACTGCGGACGTTTGAGTCATGTTTGTGCAGCATAGATCCCATTTTAAACGGAAATATTCTGCCATTTGAAGTTGAAATGCGGCAAGTAGCGACAGGCAGGAATGGTAACATGTCAGTACAAGTTCTTCCACACCGTGAATCCCCACCGACGTTACAAGTTGAAAATGGAAAAAAAAGAAACACTGCTTCACCTGGTTTCCACTCGGGGGGAGCGGTGCCGTGGGAAGCGGTGGCGGGGGTGGCGATGGAGGCGGAGGAGGACGAGATGCGCTGCACGGTGTGGCGCCTCGGCACCTCCGCCGACACGCTGAACCCGCCGCCACCGCCGACCTGGCCGAAGGTGTCCGGCCGACTGGGCGACTTGCGGGCGGGGGAGGAGGAGGAGGAGGCGAACGAGGGCGTGGGGGAGAAGGTGATGTTGAGCGCCGTGGAAACGCGGTGGCCGGCCGGGTCCAGGGAGGGCAGCTTACCGACAAGTGACGGCGGAGACGTGGCGGGAGTTCGGTTCGAGACGGCCGGGGGCGCTGCGATTATTGTGTGCTTCGCCGCATACGGCGGTGGCGGCGGAGGCGTAGGTGACCTCATGATTGCTTCCCCAGTTTAAGCTAAGCCAACGCGACACCTGGTGACAGACACGAGAAGGCCGATTACTTGTGAGGCAAAGGAATGGGAACGCTGATGTGCTTAATGAGCAGAAGATGTCAATGTCTTTGCTGACGGGTCCGGTCACGCTAAAAATATACTCGAAAAGACTACTAAGATCATCCAACGGCTTACAAGATGGCTTAGCGGTGGTGTGTTCTCGTGCTCTGTGGAACGGGTTCGATTAAACTAGTTAAAGTAGGAATACTCGATTGACGGAAACGCTGTGAAAAAAGATGACGGTGTGTCAGAGTATGCGACGACGGAACAACATGATTCACTACAAGGCCAAAAGAAAAGCGATAAAGATACAACGACACGTTACGTCCACTTCGAAAGACTAGGCGCATAAAAATGAGTTAAGCGGGTTTCAGAGAGTGAAGGAAAATGCTACATGTTAGATCGTGTTACTTTATTATCAAGTGAATAGCTACTAGGTGAACAGAAATTAATTCATTTTGTTTATTACTGTAGAGATATTACACTTGAACAACAAAATCCTTTCCAATAACGAAAGAGTAATGTCATAGCATCAGTGACATAAGCGACACAACGAGACAGCATCTATGCGTGTTCGCCCGTTGATTATTGACACTTACTAACTAAGCAAGGACACCAGTTTGACTAAGCGGTGTTGCCACCTTGATTTGGTTAATTTGCATTTTCGCAAGAAAAGAATTCTAACAACAAGCCTCGACCGTAAATCACGAGGTGGTAAGACCAGGTTGATTCACAGAAAATCTTCACAGTTGATGGCAAAATCAAACCAGAGTAAATCTAGGGTCGTGATGTAAACTTTCAACAAAAAAGACTGTTAGGTGTGCAAAAAACCTGGTCGAAATGCAACGCTTACAAGAAAACAATGTCAGCACCACCAGCAGGGGCAGATACACTAGAGCAGAATGAGCCGAAATTTACTTACAAGTGTGGCAAGTGAGAGCACATGCGTGTGGGCGTGTGTGTGTGTGTGTTGGTGCGAGAGAATATTCTCGCACGTCGGTGTGCGCACGGGTCAACTAACAAACCAATAACGACGCAATTTCCGGATTGTAAGTGGCCGTAGCGTTATTTGGGGTGACGAGAAACACGCTGTCGAATATGCTGTGACTTACGACGTTTTGGCACTCACAACTAAATTAAATAATCCCAATACCCACAGCAAAAAATTGTGATATTTCGTAAAAACGTAGAACCAGGAAGGGTCATAATTGAAATTCAGAGTGACCGACATAACCGAGCACAAGGCAGGATCCGTATCGCCCGCTTAGGTTTGTAACCGAACCCATGGAAATAGCAGGGCCTGAGAGCAAATGGAACGAGCTGAAATGACAGTTCCAGCATTTACAATTTTCACCAAGAAAGTGTGAAACACAAAGTACCAGAGGAATAGACCTGCTCTAGGTGCAACCTACACAGCAATAGGGGGCGGATTTTAATTTTTGAGTCCAAATTCGCTCATATTTGTTAAATGTTGTAAAAGTAAACGCATGCTAAATATAAAGACACAGCGCAGGTACGGATAAAATGGAGGATTCAACAGGGACTGCTATAGAGGAAAATAATACAACATAAAGATCACTGCATAGAGTTGCTAAGAAGGACGTAATGCATGCTGGATAAATAAGCATGGCTGGAGTGCAAACAGTAAATTACCGGAGTGATAAATAGCCTCATAAATGCAGCCAAGAAAAAAATCATCAGTTAATTCAATGATAAGCAGTAAAACAATACTCCACAAGAACATAGGTGGCTTGCCATAGAACAATTTGTGAGATTTAAATTCAAAGCAAACAAACACCACCTAATGTTGCAGTTACCCTAAAGTTGTGTGATCTACCCCACAACTGGTGACCGCGTGTAATCGGATTACTGCGTTTGGGGTCGAAGAATCTCGCATCATAACCTGACAGTGTTTTCATTTACTGAGGCTTGATGGGCTGAAGATTCTAAAGGGCAGACGTTGAAACTTATGTCTAGGAATTGCCAGACACAAATCAAAAATAACGGGAAACAAGAAGTGACTAAGGAAGGCAAATACCACCTAAAGTCCAACGAAATCGTCAAGACTTTAAAATGATTCAAATAAGACCTCGATCGCTTAAAAAGACTGTGTTGAAAAAATTGACATTTTAAACCAACTGAAAAAAAACAACACAACAATATGCCTGAAGCAAGTAAAGAAGATGTAGAGAATGGAAGAAGAATAGCTGGAAAATCTGCATCTATTTACTTAAATATACAAAAGCTTTTTCGTGATTCAAACCATCAACAGGAAACAAAAATGTTTTATTTTTCGAGATATTACCGAATTTTTAAATTATTACTGACGAACAAATTAATTATCACAAATCAAAAGTATATGCACGAATACAAGAAAGTAAAAGAACATCAACACGCGTGAAGTAAAAGATTGGTGATAGAAAAAAAGAAAATCTGGAAAAGCAACGCTAACATTGGGCGGAGATGTCACGAACAAAGCGGTACACAACGGAAAAGACGATTGCATCAACAAAACTAGGATTCGTTCGCACAAATGGCGTTGTTGAACTAAATATTTCCTTCGGATTTGAAATATATTTGCATCAACAACAAATGAACTTGCGGAAATAAGGATTAACATACACAATTTTATATAACCCGCATTTGAATTATTGGTTCATATTGACCGAAATGGCTGCACCAAACAAAACATCATAAAATAAAAAAATGCGCAAAAAAATGATCGATTGACAACACACTTTAATATGTATTCAAAAATGTAAATGTATTTGTGTTAACCAGATTAGAACAAAAAACATAATTTTAAACACCTGCAATCAGAAAAGTGCAACTTAAAGCACTTTTAAATAATGGTTTTTAATCGTACAGTATCTTTTAGAACAAAGTGCCTTCTGGATTTCCAGTATTTTCAATTTCATTAAAGCAATTTATAATATAACCTGAATGTCAATACTTTTGAATACCGATAGTAATTTTCTTTGTTCCTATTATTATTGCTTCTTGCAAAGTGTAAATTTTTATTTTTTTTTAAATTATATGCTAAGCATTTTAGTACAACCCTAAATATAGGTTCTTTTTGGTGAATTGCACTTGCAAATATGTATAAGTTTTAAAAAATTTTGTATCAGTTTGATTTGTTTTAAACTACAATTTTATTTGATGCTTGTTTGAAGCCTTTTGGCTTTCTAAATTGCTTTTCGAAGAGGTTGTTAATAGCTCCCGAGGTTCCTAGCGGTCAGGGAATGAATTTCATTTTGTAAGAGTTTGAACTTGTTTATATATCAAAAGTCATACAAATGTGCTTTTTAACGTCCAATTGCCAGGCTCGATGCTGAAGAATTCATGCCCATCTTTTCAAGCACTGATATATACCTTTAAGTGATCTTTGACAAGTTTAAGCTCTAAAATGCGCTATTTATTAACACAACTACATTTTTTTAACTGCGAATTTTTGGAAACTATCACAGGTTATTTCTTCAAAAGTTGAAAACTAAAGTACTGTCGTAAATTTCTCAACGTTGTTCCCTGTAATATTTGATCGCTTTAATGCTCGGTAATTGCTATTATTTTACACATTAACAAGTGATTCTAGTCAAAACAGTCATTGCTTCTATATTGTCAGTTTTTCAACCGTTAAGTATACTTTTTGGCTGTCGCCATTATTCTTTTCAACTTACAGTAATATACTATCCATATGAAAAGACGTCTCTGGTGTGTTGTGAATTCCTTTGAAGTGAAGGACATTGCCCGGCGATGGTAGTTTCACGTGTGACTTTACCGATTGCTAACTTTAACATCCATTTCAACACCGACCCACCTTCCTTTCTTCTTTATTAGTACTTGAAGTTACTGGGATACTTGTTTCTGCACGATTAGCTATTTGCTTCTTGGCGTTCCGGTACTGTTTGTGTGCCTTTTAATAACCGCCTTGAATTTACTACCAAAGGTTGTCTTTATGGGGAATTAACAGAAGTTTCCCTTACTATTCACCAATTTCAATATTCGTCTAATGCTGCGCCACTTGGAATCACAGTGCAAAAAAAATCATAATTTATTTTGCGCCATCATAAGATTGCAGGAACCAATATGTTCGGGGATTACGTGTGTTTCACCCATCTTCCAATAGTACTAAGGTTTTTTCATTATTTTCACTCCCGTGCCATTGAGATTGCAGTGCCGTTAATATCCATTAACGCGTTCTCCTATCTTAATTTTTCCTGCCTCTTTCCACTGACCATAGTAACCGTGCAGGATCGCGAACCTTCCGTCAGAAGAAGAGCAGTGGGGGCGGCGATTTCAGCAAAAACGGTGGTGGGTGTGGTGGAGCAGTTCTCTCCAGTGGGGGGTGCATCTTGCCGCCAGAAGCTGCCGGCACCCTCGGCAGTGGGGACTTGAAGCAGGCCGTGCGCCTGCCGACTGGAGAGGACCTCTGCGAGTGGGTTGCTGTTAACAGTAAGCTCTTTTCAACATGTTTTATTTTGCGCTGTAAATTGATTGACAGAGAATTGATTGCTGTTTTTTGCGTTTACACCTGCTAATGTCACGGTTATTTTCCCTTTTAATGCCTCATTTATGTCACCTAAGAGTGGATTGTGTGTAGTTTTACCATCATAACGAAGTCTCCCTTTGTTCATCCTGCTTATAAGATGTCAATAAATTTTAAAACAGATTATAAGCGGTCATTGGACCAATTCGACAATGTCTACTAGTTTAAAAACGTGTTCTTCATATCAGTGGGCTCGGGAACCGACAGTGTATTATTGTCAATACCCTAATTATCTGCCGCTTCTGTATTGTGTAAACACGGTGACCGACTATGTAGGTCTTTAGGGAACTAGTTTTCAGTCTATATTCGTCCATGCCCTGTTCCTAAACTCATTTGCTAAGTCAACTCTTCAAAACACAGCGTGGTCTGCTTTTTTTGTGTCGTTGATGTGTTGGTGAGAAAGTGACTTCTGTTTTCCACATCTACGCTTGTTAGTTTTACGATTTTTTCCCTTAGATGACGCTTAGAAGTGAATCTTGTACAGTTTTTGCGGCGAAATGAAGTCCGTGTTTGTTCACTTTTTGTTGATAACGATCACACCTTGTCCTTGGGCTCGGGATCATTAAATTTCAAAAAATATGGCAGTCGGTCATCGGACGAATTCGGCAATTTTACCCAACGCAATTGGGTTTTTGGATAATTCTTTATCGAAAGACTACTTAACCGTTTAGAGGACTGATTGTCAGTTTAAATCTACCTTTACCTTGTTTTCAAACTTATCTAATAAGTCACCTCACGCCGTGGTCTCAGATGACGTCGGTAACTCTCATTTCAGCCGTCGAGTTTTTCCAGCAAATCAACATGCTCTACGGCACCTTGGCTGAGTTCTGCACCGACACGACGTGCCCAATCATGTCGGCGGGTCCGCGTTACGAGTACTACTGGGCGGACGGGCAAACCGTCAAGAAGCCAGTCAAGTGCTCCGCTCCTCGCTACATCAACAACCTCATGACATGGACTCAGAATCAACTCGAAAACGAAGCCATCTTTCCCTCGAAAATCGGTATGCGTGCACCCCTGTGGTACCTTGAGACGTGCACAAATGTTGAATGACGTGGCCACGATAGACGCCCCGGGGTTGTGTTGATCCTAACTGGCCTTTCGACTAAGCCCCACACAATGCTGCAGATCGTGTTTTGTGCTGGGAGCGTAGATGGCATGCTTTTTGTGCTGCCATGAAAGGCAACACGAACACGTGGCCTGATTTATGTGCGCACATGACCTTACTTTCTTGCTCGTACGAATGTGTCCTGCCGCTGACGTCGCGGGGCTTCCTTGTGTGTGTGTGTGTGTGTGTGTGTTGCGCAAGATGCCACTGTTGCAGTCCCTTCTGGTCTGCAATCTCCACAAATAACCGATTTTACGTGTGGGATCCAGATGGACGATGGCTTTTGAAGCATCAACCCAGTGGCACCATCGGCCGTCTAGTTTACACCAGCGAGGCAGTTTTGTGTTCTTAGAACTTGCGTGTGTGTGTGCGTGCAAGCGTGTTCTTTTTACCTTTCCCACGCTCTCCGTGTACGCTTAAGTGCGTTTGCATTTCGCCAAACTCTTTCTCTTAATGTGAATCAATCATCTTCGTTTATTCCATCCTATTCCACTATATATTTGTTTATTTCGCGCTCCGCTTTTATAGATACAGTAGCGTTAGTGGTTTGGTAAATTCTCATCGACAGTCAGGTTTACTAGAATTAGCAGTTTGTAGAATCTCGGCTTACTTATTCTCAAGTTACCTGTTCACATGTACATTAGCAAAGGTCGCGTACACTTGAACCTCGTGGCTTCTTTTGGTTTGGTTTGGTTATTTACGGCGATGTTCTAACCGGCGCTCTCTCGAAATCTTGCTGAAAGCGTCGACTGTCTCGGTTTTGCTTCGGTCACCGATAATTGGATGAGTGTAGATGTGGTAGCTATTCCTTGCGTCTTCACTCATTAGTGCCCAGCATCTTTGATGGTGTAGCCCCAAGCCAATCACCGTTGGAATCATTGTGACCCTTTTCCCTCGCACCTCGTGAGTGGTTAGTCTTCGGAGCCTTAAAGGAAATCGCCGCACTACCACTTTTCGCTTCCCATTCAACTTCTTACTGCTCTCATTAGTTCCGCTACTGTTGACGGGAGTTATTACTAATAAATTCCATGTATTTTGAACTTCCAACCTGCGTATTTGTGTTACTTGGCCTGAAATGTCACGCAAAGCCCGCGTCAAACTCAAATTCTGTTCATTCTTCCTGAAAATAACTGCCTTGGTTTGTAAGGCCAGATATCTCATCAAGTTAGCCGGCTACTTAAATGTCATCAACATTTAAGGGATGGAAATGAATCTAATGCGACAATGGCTTGAGGGTAGTTTATGCCACACACACACACACACAAGCACACGTTTTTTTCAAGACGGTTCACACTCGTTAGAAAAACACAAGATTAGCTTAGTAACATGCGTATTTGACTGCCACTAACACTAAAATGTGGAGAACGTTGAAGAAGATCGGTTGCGACGCCTTATCCGACTCTGATCATCCACTCTTGGTGAGAACTGTCGCCTACGAAGTCCACTTGGCTAGCTAATACAGCTGTCCTCTTAACCAAAATTATCAGTGTGGGAGCGTAACGAGACCATGCTCTAAAAATACTTGTGTTCAGTAATGCGTTGGAGGCCCCAAGTGTTAAAATCACTTCGTAGAATGGGTTGCTAACACCAAAGAGTCCTTTTTCAGACGTAGTACAAGGCGGTTCAAATTAATGCGGTCGGACGTGTTTTACTTTGACACCGTAATCTACTTGTCGCCGTCTTTGTCTCGTGATTGTATGCGAACTCAGGCATTCACTTGTGCTCAAACTCATCCTCTCGTGATAAAAAAAAGGTAACGCCTACCTTAGGCATCACTATGATTGACAGAGTGTCTAGGTTTTTATTGTACCGTGAACCAAGTTTTGGAAGTTATCTAGAAGCAGGGTTTCCTGAAACGGGGATGCTTTTTTTATTGCGGCTGCTCAAAACATCACGTGCTTGTTTTCGCCACTCTGATTGGCTGTCTCCCGGCTACTCTTTCTGCCGCCGAATTCTTACACTCGCGGTCTTTTTGCCGTGTTGCAGGTGTTCCCTTCCCTCCGAACTTCTTGAAGGTCGCCAAGGCCATCCTCAAACGCCTGTTTCGCGTCTACGCGCACATCTACAACGTCCACTTCCGAGAGGTCCAGCTCCTCGATGAAGCCACCCACCTCAACACCAGTTTCAAGCATTTCGTCTACTTTGTCCTTGTAAGTCTCTCTCCTTCGGTGCCCGCCATCGTTTCCACTGCTACCTGGCTGAATTTACTTTCCTGTGTTCCCCACCCCTTCCCCCCAAGGAGTTCGATTTGGTGCGGTCCGCGGAACTGGAGCCCCTGCAGGCGGTGATCGAGGTGCTCACGGCGCCCAAGCCCGATCGCCCGGTCCCCACGTCTTACCGCAACAGCGGCGGCGGCAGCAGCGGCAACTTGCATCACAAAGGCGGCGCGCCTCCCCCTCAAGCCAATTCAGTTGTGCCTCCCTCTTCCGTCCCTCCGCCTCCTCCTCCCGCTCCACCAGCGTTGCCTCCTTCTACCCATCGACCCTAGTTTGCTCCACTACTACTGCTACCACTACTTCATTCACTACTCGCACTGACTTTCATGTGTGCCTTCATCGCTCGAGTGCCTTGTTATCTTCTTATAAATATACACATATGCTTGCGTCGTGTGTCCGTTTGCCTGAGCGCGCGCGATTGAGGCCATTTTTTCGGCGCACGGCGGCAGGGATTTGTTGAAACTCCCGGACTCGTCCTCAACGTGTCGTCCAATCGTCAGCAGCAAGCAATTCTTTTGTACGAGGCAGTAGAAGCAACTGCAGGCAGAGCGTTTTGAAAGCTACTTACGGGAGTTGGAGAGTGGCGACTTCCTACATTACAGTCGAGGTTGTTTTCACGGCGTGTAAACACCGGAAAACTGGCTTCGAATCGAACAAAAAGGCTACACTTATTGGACCAACTTGTTTTGTGGGGTGAGGCGCGTGAAAACGCGACTCGGGGGAAATCCAAAACCAGTGCAAGAATCGGGTGACATTTTGGTTGCGTGTTTATAGCGCGATCGTGGTGCAATCGTTTACTTCGAGTTACTGATCACCGGTGTGCGCACTCACACCTTACAACAGACTTGGAGTGTGCCCAGTCACCTGACATCAAGGGCCTCAAACACACTCACGGTCATCCTGTTTGTCCTGGCCATTCACGGTATTTCAGGCAGGGAAGTTAAATTTGTCGTTGTTACCCGGGTGCCACGTGATCTTAGCTGAATCTTGCTGGTGTGTGTGCGTGTGTGTGAACTGGTTTGTGCGCACACATTTCAGACCGGTCACACAACGAGCCTTATTATGCTGGTCTTGAGCAATGCTTCCTTGCTAGGTCTAGCTGCCTTAAAGACTAATTCGTGAATTGCGGGTTCGCTGTTTCTCAGCTTATTCGACAAACCCAGTTTAGTGGAATGTGATGCATTCAACCGCTGACAATTCTTTCCCCTTAAGCGTGCACGTAATTGGGTGTTGTTCGCACGATAATACGATACCGCGGTATGTTTTAATGGTTCGTGTAGAAATAAAAACACAGTCACAAGTTGCATTAGAGATTTGCAAGTCGTGTTGTTGATGCACCATAAACGATACAGTGCCTTTCCAATGCTTTTTGTGGTCGTACTTTCTCAGCATGTGCTAAAGTGCACTAAATTCCGTTCGCTTGCATTGCTTGTGTACAGTTTAATGCGTTTTCGCGAACTCTCGCCGTGCACTTATACATATTCTAATACATTTGCACATTCACGCGTTGCGTTTCTCAATTTTTTACAGCGGAGAGTGCGTGATTTTGTCATATTTAACGTGAAGTCAGCAAAAAGCCAAGCATTCTTGCTTGGCGTGTAGCTTGCACAAAAGAACAAAAGGTTATTGGAATTGTGCGCCATTACACCGTAGATGCTGTAGTTGAGAGTGAATCTTCGTTTCAGTCAAATATAATCAATCTTGACTGATTTGTTTTTGAAAGATGTGCAAGTGATTCCCGGGTCAATTTTAGCGCGGTTTGTGCTTTCAAACAAACATCGTCGACGACTTTTTTGGCTTTCTTAAGGGAACTGGAAGCTGGTGGGAGTCGCAATGAGGTCTTGACTATTTAGCAGGAGCCATGATTATAGGTTTGTATTCGACGCGCCCCTGTCTTTAAGGCACTTGGCTACTGAGAGGATACGTCTACTAGAAGTTAAGTAAGCGTTAGAACCCGAGAAATCGCCCAAAACGGAAGAACATTGTGGAATGTCCTTAGTCCAAGAAGAGAATTGCCAACGACTGAGTATCAGAACTTAAATGGCAATCTAAAATCACATCGCGCGTGCATGGGACAGTTACATTCTGCGGTCGAATGTTGGAGGTACGACAGCGCGACGCCTCTCACGTACATGCGAAGCCTTTTATGAGTGCGTTTGTAGTCAAAACGCACTCGTTACTTATAATGTTTCTTGTTTAAGATAACACGTGTGCGTTTTCGCTAACCTTCAGCATTGTTTTTGCTTGGCGTGGAGCCCCTATGCAGGAACACGAGACCGGTAAATAAATATGGTTTTTTTATCACCGTGTATGCTGTTGTTGACAGATCGCGACGGTCGTTGCAGATAGCAAGATCAATATTATCGCGAACGACATACCCCACTAACGACGTACTACAAAGGCAACTGAATAGCACCAAAAATTGGCAAGGGATTTTCAAATTTAGAGTTGTTAGTTAACATTTTCGACGGTGGCAAGTTACTATCATTTCCTTAAGGTTACGAAAGCTACTGGAACTCACAGGGAGATGTGTGAATTGGGTGGCGCTGAGTGCTTGGCAGAACGCGTGGGTGAGAAGCGGTATCAAGATGTCGGTTTTGAAGACAGTTCACCCAAATCTATGTGCCCCCTTCTAGTCTGCATGCTGATGTTGATGCTGACCAACCCCAAAAGCCATACTCCAGTCGATCGTGGTTGTGCAATCGTTACAGAAATTGCAAAGCGCTTGGCAGATGTTTCATCGCACGTAATGTCTAAATTGCACTTAACATGACTTGTATTCGTTAAGAACGTTGGTACTTATGTTGCGTCTTCAACGCAATGAAATCGAGGTTTTTCCAAAACACTATAGCAAACTTAGTTGCTCATTCGTTGAAATTGTTGTGGTGTGGTTTGTTTTGACCTGCTTTCTCCTTGCACGACAGTCAATTCAAGTGCAAGCTGCAAGGAAACCGTCCTAAATCTCCCGAACACACGTAGAAACACGTGGAAAGTTTTCAGAGCTTGTAACGTCTCATCAAGTGGGCGAAAATATCAAAGCACTGGTCTTATTTCCCTTTTAATGAACGTCCACTGATTACTTTATGACATGGGTCCTAAGTGTGCGAATGATAACATGTGCAAAGCACCTGAATAAATTTCATGGATCATTTTTGAAAGTGAATTTGCGTTGGGTCTGAAGTCACACTCTAGGGTCGACATTTTGACAGCACAAGATGTCTAAATACGCTTTTCTGCCTTCTGAGTCGCTTTTCACCCAAGCTGTTGGCCACCCCTATAAAATGGTTGCTGTCTCGGCGAATTGGTCTTTGAACGAATCAGGAGTATGCGTGCGCCGCCATCTCTAGCCTTTAGCGGCGTCATCTGCTCGGCCTGGTTGTGTTTACAACCTAGTGTTGAATATCTTGCACGTCTTATCATCCAAATATGCTGAGCATTTTCACTCTAAATATCAGTAATTACATCTTCAAAATGAAAATAGGCTCTTCATTGAAATGGAACCTACTGTGAGAGGAATGACGCTTGACAACACTCCCATCTTATATGCTGACGCGCCTAATTGGAACTAATCTTTAACAATTTAAAATTACACGCCACCACGTGTAATTCATTACATTAACTGCCCACCCATCTCTCTTTATTGGCATCCACTTAACTAACAGCTGATCAGACTCATAATTAATTTTTTTTCAACTCTAAAGGATGTGGGTGGTTACAATCCGTAAAAATAAATTGCATGGCGCATTTACTGTCTTTCATTAGTTCAGTTTGAGATGCTACTGCTACTTATTTCCCGAAATCTCCAAGGGAAAAAAGTCCAATCATCGTTTATTAATTTCTTGTAACCCAGGAGGGATTCCTTTTTTTGACAACGCATGCTTTGAACTTCATACGTGTTCCAATATTTGGAAAGGTTTTTTTGCCATCTACCTTTCTGTCTCACAAGCTTTTCCAATATTTTACACCCAGCTCTAAAAAATCACTTGACTATTTACAAAGTAAGCATTTCAGAATAGACTAGAATCCTATTTTGTTGCCCAGAAATATTCTTTTTACAAATAATGGTGGGGATGGTGAAGCAATTTTGTGTAAATAAAAATTCGCCAATTGATTGTTTGAATAATTAGTTAAAAATGCTGATTTCTCTTCATGAATTATGCCGTCTAATGAAACATGGTACCTTTATGACTCCACTTGAATGGAATTGGAATTAACCGGTAAAAAAATCTTGTTCGAAGAGCCTATCTTCATAAACATTATGGACACGGGGATTAAATTCAAAGAGGGTAAAGCGTTCACTCGTCGCTATGTATTTTTTCTGATTTGTTTAATCTCTCGATGTAACTCTTGCACACAAAGTGAGCCACAAAATATTTACTGTCAAAACCGATTTTTCAAAACTGAATGTGAAGAACCAGGGGGACAGAGGCTCAAGTGCTACTTGGCCTTGGCTGTATACACTTATTTCTTATTAATAATGTCGAACTGCAGAGACTTTGATCAGTGTATATCGTTGCATGCATAACCGATTCAAAGCGGGACATCAAATATTTAGTTTCAGAAACGTAGGCAAGTGTGTGCGGTATGTGAACCAATGCAATTAATAGCAGTTTAAAACGTGGAAAAGATAGTGTGTTTTTCCTAGCTAATATCAGACTTTAAAAAAAGTTTGACGTAAGTACTCCTGTGAGAGTATTGAGTCTCCTTCTGTTATCCCTATCCACATTAATATTCGTTTAAAAGGATCTTCCTAATGGATCTATGCTTTTTGTGTCTTTGAGGTACGATTTAATAAAAAAAGTAGGAAATTATAAACCAAATTTTTTTTCAAATATTTTGTAGATTAATAAACTCAAACCAAAAAAGTTTGAACATAACCGTTTCCGGACATGATTTGCATGGTTACCACAGCATAATCGAAAATCATAGGGTTAAAACCACTGTCAGAAGAAGCTTATAAAAGTGTTTGTTATTAAAATTTATATTGAACCAAAGTACAAAAGGAAAAATTAATGCCTTTCTGAGTTTTGTAGTTTTGAATGCTCTGCCTGGACTATAAAAGAGGCAAATCTTTTCGTGATTTTTTTACTCTTGTACACTTCATGCTCTACAAGTATTAAGCAAGAGCAAGCTAATATATGTGAAATTTGCAAATTAATGTGTTTTATGTTACATAGCCACTATCATATCCTATTTTAAAATGTTTTCCATTGTGTTTTTTTAAATGTCTAAAACATGCAACCTCTATTACAACCAAGTGAGCTTAGATAAACCTAGTGCATGACTAACTGTGAAAAATATTATTTAGTACATTATTAACTAGTTGCCTACCATTGCCTTCTTATCGTTTTACTTAGTCATAGGGTAATGTTGCGTTTTTAAATATGTCCTATAACCAATGAAATATTCCTGTTGTCTGTAATATGGTGTAAAATTTCGGGCCTCGTCTAAATTTGCTCGGCCTATTTAGCCTTTGCTTTTTGTCGTCACCTGTCATCTTAACCTTCAATGAATTATCCGCGAAAAAAAATCTGCCTATCATTGGTCTTGAGGGCCAAGGAAGAACGTCGCAACAGATTCGGCGTAAATTCCTTGGACTATGATCCTTATCAAAAAAGACTGTACACTGCTGGCCGGGACTCTGTAATCCGTGTATGGGACACAAAGCGCCAATCAGTAAGTGAAGTTTGATCTTCGTGATATTTTAGGATCCTTATATCCAAAGCATGGAACACCATGCTGATTGGGTAAATGACATTGTTTTGTGTTGTGATGGGGAGTACCGTAAGTGAACATTCGCTGTTGCTGTTTACTAAACGTCACGGTTTTAAAATCGCATTTTTCAAATATATTTCTAGTCATATCTGCATCTAATGACACGACTGTCAAGGTTTGGAACGCCCGAACTGGATTTTGCATGTCGACTCTTCCCACACACAAGGACTACGTTCTCGTGCTGGCCTATGCACAGCACAGGGAAGAAGTGGCAAGTGCCGGGTTAGATCACGCCATATTCCTCTGGGATGTCAACACTTTGCGAAACTTGACACCGAAAAACAACACAGTTACAAGTTAGCTTGTTTTCAGTTTGAACATTTTTTTAGCTTCTTCATTTAGCGACGACAAGGATAGCATTTATAGTCTGGCTATGGACCCTGCCGGGTCAATTCTTGTTGCTGGGAGTCCCGACAAACTTATTCGCATGTGGGATCCGAGAACTTGTCAGCCTATTGGCCAACTACACGGTCACACTGATAATGTCCGTGCTCTACTTATTCGTCCAGATACTCAGGAAGTTAGTCGTTAAGCGTACTTAAATTGTGATTTTTTCTAAAGATATTATCTGGCAGCTCTGATGGAACCATCAAACAGTGGTCTGTGGGGATGCGAAGATGCACGGAAACTATTCGTCGCCACACGGAAGGTGTTTGGACTCTGCAGGCACGTATTTTTTTCCTGAGGAAATTTTTTTGGTTATAGACTAATTCGTCTTGGACTGAGGTATATTCGTCTGGAAGGGATAAAAATATATTTGCAACTACCCTTCGTAATACTGATGAGTCTTTTCTTATTGGCAGGGAATCTGACCCTGTGTTGAAGGTACGTTGCCTTTCAGCATTTCCTTATAGTTTCTGTCAATGGCGGGTGTTATTGTCACCGATTTTTTACAGCTTCTCTACGTAGAAAACTCTGATGGTAACTGTCTTTGGGCTTCAACCAGTGGAACAGATGTAAAATGCTGGGTATGTTTGCTATTTATCTCTTTTCGTTCACTTCTGGCTCAAAATCGTGTAAAAATGCCCTCCTTCTAGCGTCCCTCAGCACTTTACGCCGGAGACGGCTTTTCATACGAGCAATTTGTACGTTTTACCTTTGGGAAAATGCCGCGTGATATGTAATAAGATCACTCTTGTAGCTACAATTCTTATCACCCTTTCCCCGGTCTGTCAATTGTGTACAGAATGTCCGTCTTTTGCTCCGTCTCCGATAAACAAAACAAGCGTCACTGCGTTGCGGGACGACTTAAATGACGTTTCGGCTGACAACATTGCCAAAGTGTCTGGCATCCCGCTAAATATGATCCAGGTTTATGATAATTTAGCATAATTTTATTCCCTGATGATATTTTAAGTGACCTTATGCGCCAGTGAGGTACTTCAAACCCGCAAATTCCAGCATCCTTTTACCTCTCACTTTTTTAGCCGATAAATCCGCCCCACCGAAGTGCCGTCGGCTCCTCGTCCAATCGCTACGCCGAGCCTGGGCGCTTCTCTGCGCTCGCCCAGGCCACCCATAGTTCCCCGTGGGCGCGGAATTCCTCCACACCTTCGGCCCCTCCTGTGTCGGCCTTCTCCTCCCCCTCCTCCTCCGCCTCATCCACCACTGCTCTGCCCTCTCCCGATCTGCCTCCAGAGAAGGAGCTGGACCAGCTGCATCTCAATGTGCCCACTCCCGTACCAAAATTCATCATCAAAGGTACCTACTTTGTCCAGCAATTACGCACAGACCGACAGGCTTTGTCATTGCGGGACCTGCGGGAACACCCCCGCGTTTAGTTAACATAAATGCCAATACAAGTTCAGATGACAGCTGGGCACCTCTGATAACATTCTCCGTCTTCCTTGGTATTCATATTAGTTTATTGATAAGTTGCGTAGTCAATTTAGTCTTTTCTTAAATTATTTTGGAATCGCTCTGGTTTCGCGTGGGACGTTCGACGTCACACCACACGTTTGCACAGTTTGGGAACGCGGCTTTTGAGAATAAGGGCGAATGACATCATACGACATCACAAGAACCGTAAAATTGCCTTTTTTTATATGGCATCATTAAGAAGTGTCCTTCGATTGTACTTGTTTGAATTGCTAAGGCATGAAGGAAACGCGCGTGTATGTGTGGCACACGTAGAGAAACGAAACTGCAATAGTTCTTTGCGGTAAATAATTGTGCGAAATCTGCTTCGTTGTCTTGGGTCTTAATTATCACCACGTCTTCACCAGACAATCCATTTATGCTGTTTTTGATTAATTATGGCCGCTTTTTATTTTCTTCCCATTTTGCCCTACTAATCACGAGTTTTTATGCGAAATTGTCCCTTAGGTGGTTACCCCATTGTTCAGTACCACATTTGCAGCGAGAAGCGGTTCATCGTCACCCGCGACGCCAACAATCACGTCAGTATCTACGACGTGTTGCAGGTAAGCCCGGTGTTCCCTTCGCTATTCCTTCCCTTGGCCCCTCCACCTACCCCCCACCGATTCCAGTCATGATCTCTGACTTGGTCGATTTCCAAGGCTCCACATGAGCCTGTGTTTTTATTCTATTGAAATCACTTCGTGGTTACGTCGTGGTCCGATTTCCAAAATAGCTCAATCGCAAGCGGCTTTGGTCTCCAGTTGTGATTGGTTGTTGGTATCCAAATGTGATTGGTTATCCGCTTCATGCGATGGGCACTTGCGCTGTGTTCCCCAAAAAGCATGTCCAGTACTGTTTTAGTCCAGATGTGGATTTGTGTGATCGTGGGCCCCGCAAAATGTAATGGTAACGCAATGGGCAAAAGCCCACGTTGTGTAACGACCTCTAAAACTCATCGCCGAGTCGCCTTACGTGGTACTTATTTTCACTTTAGGCGAAGATCGTTCAGAATTTGGGTGTCGTGGATTTCGAAAACGTTGTTAAAGAGCGCGAGAAGTTCATCTACGTCCCTAATTGGTTTTCGGTTGATCTGCGCTGTGGCGTGAGTGTGTTCTGCCTTCTCTCTCGACCCTTCTTTATTGTGATCGTAAAAATGTACCATTTGTGCCTTCTGATCAGTTTCCCATCATTCACCTGGACAGTGCCGATGCACTTTCCGCTCACGTCACACTGAAGGACGCCGGTTTCACAAACCCCGACGATTCTTTCGACCAGAAAAGTTTGTTTCTATTTGCCCTACTTTGTATTACTCAGTAGCTGTTATTTTACGTTCTCAATTGCCTCCATTCTAGTCAACTACGGTCAACTGCTGCTTCAGGCAATTTTCGAAAGCTGGCCGAAAACCCAACTCTGTGGTGATGGTGACAGTAAGTGAAGCGGTCAGAAGGTCTCCCGCTCAATTTTCTGAATTCATTCGATCATTATTTTGCATTTAATCATTTTAGATCACTCAAATATGGCACGGGGATATGTCTCACTGCCAGATCACATACCCATCATTCTCAGGTAGTTGTTGGGGGACATCGTTGCGACGAATGTTTAATTTTTTCGGTGACTTGCCTTTTTAATCCGCTAACCGAGCGAGTCGCAGTAATTCTGATGTGTTGTTTGCCTTCAGCGACAGTCGTGGTCGAGCGTTGGCGCGATTCGTGGTCCGTGACACCGCGCTCTCGAAGGAGCAACGACTGCTCTGCGACCACGTGCCTGAGTGGATAACCGACGTGGTTGTTGCTGTAAGCACCTTTTTTCGTTTGTCTGGCACCCAAACGACGCCACAATTTCGCGCTCCTCTAACGCAATCCTCCTATCGACGTGTTTTAGCGTAAACCCATCAAGGCCACGAAGATTCCCTTCTGTCTGACCCAGGACCTCAAAATAACCAACCCGAAATCGAAGAAGTAAGCGTCATATGTCATAGCTACCTTCTAGTTACTTGTGCATTTTTATGTGATCGAAACGAGAGCTCTTTCACCTGATTGGTTATTTTGTTTTTAGCCTTCCAGCCTCGGTCGCCGCTTCAGCCAATAGTCGCGAGCGCCTGTCAGCCAATGAGACGCTGACAATTCGCAAGGTCATGGAATACGAATTTCGAAGGATGCTCGAACTGGTGGAGTCAGCGACGTCAATCCCGGTGGATCAAATGTCCAACCTCAGTGGCGATGCCTCGGGCCACTCACAGAACGCCAATAGCGGTGGCGCAAACACTGATGGTAACGCAGCCTTTTCGCAAACAGGCAAATTATTGGCTGAATCTCAGAGCCTTTTGGTATTGGTGAGCGTGTGCAGGAAATCGTCATTGGACAGCCGCTCGCTTTAACCCATTTTAGTGACACATTCAGATGATTTAACTCGTAACATTTGCAAGTTGATGCGTGTTTCAAAGAGATGCCCGTAACAAAGAGAGAAAACCACTCAAGTAACGGTTCCAGATCCCTTTTTGACGCTGGCACCGACCTCCCCACGCTAATACAAGAACAAGACCAGAGCTCGTGTAGAGAGAGCTTTAACCACGTCAGACACGTGCGGAGTGAGTTGTCTAAAGTGAAACTACTTTTAGTCAAGGTCGACCTTGACCTGATAAAAAGCGTAATAAAACGCATGTTAGGGAATTAGTGCCAGAAACCAATGACGAGCAATCTTGGGTTATCGTGGATTCCCAACAATGCGTTCCCAGGAGGTCAGAATCTAAAATGTTCAATGTGTTCTCTTATTTGCGGTTTTTTGATATGTTCTTTTGGGACGATGTAGTACCTTTGGATGAAGAGTTGTTGCAGAGCAATAGTGCATGCACGTGGTTCACAAAGCACGTGGGAGTAGAGGTTTGATTGGTGGAATTTGCTTGGCATAGATTCGCCGAGGGCGAATGGCAACGTCACGAGTGAGGCGGCGGCTGCTGCGGGCGGCGGGGCTCCGGAGACACGCGACTCCGCGGCCACGCAGTTCATGGCGACTAACGTGACCTTCGTGCCCGCACAGGCCCCGCCCGGCACCACGCTGATGGACCTCACGGCGGTCGCGAACGCCGCCTTCAAGGCCACCTCCACCCCCGAGGACATCATCCAGATCTGGTGTGGAGACCACGTGCGTTCCCCCCGCCCTGTTTTTGTGCTTGATTTTCGGTGTCTCTGGAGTAATACCTGTGCCCGCTGTGTCTTTCAGCTGCTCGACCCGGACATGAATCTGCGGACTGTGCGCCACTTCTACTGGAAGCAGCCGGGCGAACTCGTTCTCACCTACTCCATCATCAAGGAGCCGCTGTGACACCGCTGATCTCGTTCTTTTTCATAATCTTTCTCGCTTATTGTGTACATTTGCGCGCTGCCACTGACACCGTCATCTCCAGTATCTCCGACACCCAAATCACCGCGTATTTGTGATATCAAGAAAATGCCTTGTGAATCAGCTTCGCCTATTTTCTGAAATCTAGACAACTTGTACCATTAATCCGTTTGCGCAGCCGCTCTGGTGAACTTGTAACTCCGGGCTATGTAGTCTCCTTTAGGAATGTAGCTACTTATAAGGAAGAAGGTAGCAACTGATGTGACGTGGCCTTCTTCAGGAGCAATTTTTGCCCCCGGTCGTTAATTTAGAGACAGTATAAACACGGCTTTGGAGCTCACGTAGGCGGTATCACTGAAATGCCGAGGTGGTGCGCACAAGCTGTCTGAAGCAAACCGTGACTGTTATTGACTACTTACTAATACTTGTCAGTAGGCAGAATATTGCAGAAATCCAGGGGCTCCGGTTTTCTCGCTTCAAGCGCGGTAAATTTACGAGGCAATTTACTTAACAACAAACTATGGGTTTATTTATCACAGGGAATTACTGCCACCAACGTGAAGTGTCTACGATGAAAACTTGCACTTGAGTTCGGCAATATTGTGGGTGGTTGATAGGGTGGAGGTGTAGAGCCCGTCGAAGATGTCCTCCAGAGCTAAAATAAGACCAAAGAACCCGTGTGATGTCTGCAAATAGCACCTGATTAGGTCAAATCGTGCACCGACATTAGTGCTTGAGGTGTACCTTTGAGTGCCGCGTCTTCCAAAAGGAGCACTGCAACCTTGAACCGCGCGCTTCTCGTGAGTCCGTCCAACACGCTGTAGATGAATTCATAGTCACCTGAATTAAAAGACGCCGAGTTAACCAAATTCTCCACGGCTGTTTGGCTTTGGTAAGTATCCTTGTAAAGAATAATTTCTTAGCGTCAAAGCATCTCACCTATGTTTCTCAGTTTCTGTAAATTGACGAGCACAAAATGTAGCATTAACTTAAAAGGTAAGTTTTGTTATGAATTGGTGGTCAGAAATGAGTTGGTCGGGGTGCATTAAAGCGGTTAAACCATATGCCACTTTCCATCAGCTACGCAAAGCGACATTCAAGGAGGCAGGCGGTTGGCCACTTACCTTGCGGCAGACTGATTGTGCTGAGCGCAAAGATGTACTCTTCCAGCATTTCGGCGTCCAGTTTGACGCCAAGGACTACAAGTGAGAGAGGCAGAGAGTCGGACGTGCTGCGTCGAGGTGGAAGTCTGCACTTGCGTGGAGGGACTTACCAGCCTGAAGCCTGTTGGGTCCGGTTTGCTTGAGTCGTTGGATGAGGTCGCGACGCGACTGCTGAACACGCTCTGTGGATGGAAATAGTCAAGAGGTCCAACATCAGAACACTACAAATTTACCAGCTAACTCATCATTGTTCAAGATCAGGCCTCCAATATGGCAGCTTTTAGCGATTAGCAAACGAATTTATCGATTAGCGTTGTCTGGTGATTTGGTCTTCTTTGATTGGACCTGCTGATACCCGATCTGGATCAGCTGCGCGATGCCTCGGTCACACTTACAACATTCAGATTCGACAATTTTACCACGAATGCGAGCAATCAGTGGATGTATAGGCTGGCAGGTTTTCAGTGGAGTATTTTTATGGTTAAATATTTACGTTGATGACAAATTTTCATCTTGAGGATAATAAACAAACAATCTGTTGGTTATTTAATGAAACTCAACCGACAACAAGGTTGCAATTAAAAATTGAGGTGCCAGTCATAATGCGTTGCTTTTTTGTCACCTGCTGAATGGACATTGAAGTGAGCATTACTTCGGTGAGGAGAAATTTCACAATCAACGCAAGATCACCTGATGAATTTCTTGAATTTGCGACCCCGCCTGAATCGGTTGCACCCCTTGGCTTGACGTCAGATAGCTTCTCAACATCCTATCAATAAATGAAGAGCAGATTTTAAAAACAGCCTCACAAAATCCCACAAATGTCTGGCAAAACTACCCTTTCAAAATCAACTTCATTTTTCTCTAAAAATTATTGATGGTAATTCGATGGTGTATGAAACTGTAGTTCATGTTAATTATTTTTGCATATTATTCTCTCTACTAACAAGTGTCAGTAGATAGTCAATTTTGTCACGACTCACTGCAGATACTCTGTTTGCGTTCCCCGGGGACACGTCTCCCTCCTCTACATGCACCCGTTTCTAAAAGAAAAACAGGAGAAATCATGCATTTTAAGTTGGGTTTTCGGCATTCTGCAAACCAACCGAAAAAATAATCAGATTATCGTTGACTGCAGAATCCAAGTCTCAAGTTTGCAACCACTGCAACACAAAGTATCTGGTGTCGCGCTAGTTGGCTTTTGTCCGAAAAACGGGCTCATTCGCCGAAAGTGGGAGAATGTTTGGGGTCGTACTTTGCTGTGTGCGCTTTCTTGCAGGTCAAAAACCTCCTCGATTACGACGTCGTGGTCCACCGGCTGGTTCTCGGGAATCGCCCAGCGCTGGGGTCCTTCAGTAGCCATCGCCTTCTCCTCCTCCTCACTTCCCTCCTCCTTCCCCTCCTCCTCGTCCTCGTCCTCCTCTCCGCCCGAATCGTCGTCGTCGACCTCGTCAATGACCATCCGGCGACCGCCCTCGAGGTTGCTGCGTTGGCGACTCGCGCGGTCTTCTTTCACCTTCTTCAGAAGAGCCTGTCGCGCAAAAGACAAACAAACAGTCGAATTGTGATGGTCCTTCGACTAACAAGCCCACTAATAAAATGGTTTCGTTTTGAATTGCGATATCTATCACAAACACACCATTGGTCAATCAGGTTTCGGGATGGCTTCACTGAAATGTAACATTAATCACAAGAAATATTATGAGCACGTATGAAAATGATGGGGAAAATGTGGTATCAAAAGGGAAATTTTGTTAAGGCAAAATATTTTTTTAAAAATGACAAGTTGAAACTAACTTGGAAGCATGATAGCCCGTTGTTTCCAGTGCTTAAAATGCTACTTATTTTTGTAAGTAAAGTCATTTTAGTACACCTGCTGCGGTTTTAATAGTCGTTCCTTTTTTAAGCTCAATTAAAATGATATGACGAAAAAGTTGACATTACAAATGAACCACATAAAAACCGATGCCACACACAATAATCTTTCATCAAATTAATTTTGGAGCCTGTCTTCTGTGTCCAATTCACTATGTATTTAGCGGGATTAGTGAAAGACCAAGATGTTTGTACGGCTGATTCGGATTGGCGCTGAAGCACACACTGCAGCGAACTCATCTTTGGCCCGAAGAATCGTTCAATCACATGAGTCGTCTGTCGATGGTCCAATGAATGACAAATGATGAACGACACTGGCCAATCAAATGCAAAAAGAGGTTTCTGTGTTTTACCCCTGAGAGAGCATCCAGTAAAAAATGCAGCTCGAATGCCAACATAACCGGCGGATCGACCAATCACTCACGGTGGCCTTGGCGTTGCCTGGTTCCAGTTTCAGAACAAACTCCAAGTCCGTTTGCGCCTTATCGAGGCTGTGCAACTCGTAGAGGGCCTGTGAACGCCGCAGCAGAGCTACAACGAACCAGAATGCGTATCACTAAATCTTAACGTTGATAAATCTAAATGCGCCAGTGTTACATAGCTTCATTATATTCATTGCATCGAAAACCTATGGATATCTAGGGTAAAGGTAAAGCTGATTCAAACTATAAGACGAGGTCCGTGTATAATTAAAATTATTTAATAATCTCAAGGTATTTCCTGATTTTTGTTGGGTGACATGAAACAGCACTTCTCACAACTTTGTTTCAAAGCATTGAACTTCGTTTTATCGTGCGTGAAAAACAAGCAAAGCGAAATCGTGTTGCTTGCCTTTAATATTTTCCGGCTCCTCCTTCAACACCCGATTGCAATCCTCCACTGACAGTTTCCACTTCTTTTGCTTCAGGTCTTAAAGCAGAACACAAACAACACAACATGAAGATCTGCCTGATTACGATGGGTTGAAAGCATCGTCTGTAGGGCTTACACAACAACGCTCTGTTGTTGTAGACCGCGGCGGTTGGTTCAAAGATGAGACTGCGTTCGTAGTACCCCAGGGCTTCGTTGTAATCTCCGGCAATGAGCGCCTAAACAGGATGCAACAGTGGCTACTTGTTCACACATTTTAAACCTTTCATATTGTAAGTTTGCATTTTCTAAAACAAAGTTACTACTTAGAATAATTCCGTAGGCAGTATGTCCAACTTTTGACACTTAAATCAAGCATCTAACCAGTCAGCGATATTTTTGTGGCTTAGAGTGCTTTCGATTTTAAACAGGCGGGGGATTTACCTCGTTCCCTTTTTCTTTCTCGCGCTGTGCGTGAACAGCTCGCACGTGTTTGGGCATTGTTTTGGCCTTTTCACGCAGCCCCTTGCTGCTCGGCTTTTCGGCAGTCTGCAGGTCAAGTGAGGTGCCTTTGTTGTCTCCGCTGGCTGCCTGGGCTTCGTTCCTCTTCTCTTCCTCCTGCAACTCCTTTTCCAGCTCCTTTTCGATTCTTCACAGTAAAAAAATCAGTCATCAGCCTCAGTAGCCAATGGGAATTATGAAAAATTGAAAAAAAAACTACTGATACTGAATTCGGGCATATTCGTCGTTTGAGCAATAAGGGACGCTTAATGGTAAGTCATTTATCGTGGCAATGTCCACCAATGCGACACTATGTACTTACTTGTCCCACTCCTCATAGGTCCGCAATTTTCCTGACTTCATTCTGGAAGACTTCACCTAAAAGAAATTACGGCCTTTGGAATTATATTTGGGTAATTTAAATCCCTGGGTTTTATTCTGAAATATCAGTTCTGTTAAAGGTTAGTTTGCGAACCTGAAAGTTTTCCTGTTTACTAATAAAAATGGTTTTTACGTGCAGTTTTGCTGGATTGGGAAATTAGACGTCGAAATTTATCACTTAGTAAATCAATGACGGAAGGATCAAAATAATATCTGTAAGACACTTTTAAAACATTGCAAGTCTGCGAACAACACCAAGAAGCAGTCTACAGGTATTTTACATTGAAAAGACAATCCGTGCCGATTATCAAGGACTTGGATATCCAATCGTTATCAGGAATCTGCAGGATCTTGACAAAACTGTTTTCACATGATTCCATGAATGTATTTTTCGGCCACAATTAGAAATTGAACAGGAATTTTCTCAATCTCGTCATAGAATTTAATGACGGAAATAAAAACAGCAACAAGAGCAAATATTTTTAACATAATTGAAAATTTGATAGTAGCTGCTCACAGCAAACATCCTGAAAATGCTTAAGTATTGCCTATTTAAATTTCAGTCTCCATCTAAATGTAGCTCGGATTCTGGTGCGTTCAAAAATTAAAAAATCCTCGCTGGTAAGCAATTTACAGTCAAAACACTTCGGTTTGATTGAATTTAGTACATTTGACTGAAAGTTAACAGTAGGCAAGCAAGAAGGACATTGCACTTATTCTCCTTTTATCGGATTAGACACCACAAGATTGATGTTAAGAGTGTCCGAGAAGGCATCGATAAAATGATGGACATACCCTTGTGCCTTTTCCACTGTCTGGATTTATTGATCCCCACTCTCTGACCTTCGGAACGTTATTGCTTCCTGGGCATGCATTATTGACAATCGGGAGACTGGTTTTAGTCAGAATTTCCTGATGCTTGGTTTCATCAAGCCACTCCTTAATGGTAAGGCGATTTAGTCGAAATTTGACGTACCTGAAATCCATTTTCCACCTCTTCACGTTCTTCGTCATCCAGTTGATAGGTGGACAAAAGTTGTCCAGGTTTACGCAGTAGCCGACTAGCACAAAAAAAACTGAACTTGAACCAGCTGCTAAACTTTAGATTTCCAACAGTCATCGTTTTTGAATCGAGTCTCCAATATTTTGAGAACACGTAAAACTTATCTAGCAATGCTAAACCCTTTTATTTTTTCAAGAAAAAATTAAAACTCACAACTCAGTTTATACCAATGGTTTCCAATTCGGACAAAAAAATTTAAGTCAAAAATGAATTATGAAAACACTCAAATTTCGCAAAAATTGTTTTGGATTTTTTGTAAAATACAATAAAAAACAAGTATGACTTTCTAGATTTCTAATAAATTATCCGTGGCCTCACTTTGGTTTCTATTACTTTGATAGAGCAGATTTGGCTTTCGATGAAATCTAATGTTCTTTTAGCATTACTGATTATTAGGTTCATTTCAAGTTAGTTTAAAGATGACACGATATACAAAAATGCAAAGACGTAGTTTATATTATAGATCCCTTACTTTTCAGGGTCTGAAGACCGGATCTTGTCTTCGCAATGCTTTTCCAAGTCAGGGAAACGTCCTTCCTGTCCAGACCTCAGCACCTTCAGTATTTTTTCTAATTCCTTTATATTGTCACATTTGGTAATGTATTGGTAATCAAGATGATTAAGAGGTATGTCATAAAGTGAAGTTGTCTGGTAAAACATTAGAGTTGTAAAAAATTACAAATAACGTGTTCTCGATTATTTTAGGCCAATCAGTTTCGAGTGTACACAAACACTAGGGTTCGCAATAACCGAAGCACATATAAACACCGTTTTTATAATAATTTGAATTTAATGTCTGAAAACCAAGTTTTATCTGAAATCTAATGCTGTACTAATTGAATTTTGGCGCGCAAACTAGCTATGTAATATAGTGTGTTCATTTTGGGTGCAATTCGGGTGCATTTAGAATTCGATTATTATGTGTTCATTTAAATCACAGCAAATATTTGAACTGTGTTTTATTATTGCTGTAATTATGGTGCTATCGAAGAGTCTAGTGCCTTCTGACAAGTGTGTTAGTGTGATATAGTTGACTTAGAACAAAACAAATCAAAACATAACAAGATTTCAAAAGAAGCCTTTCTAGCTCATCGTATATGCGATCTTCTAAACGGTGTAGAATAGCCAAAACTTTTACCATTACTTTATTCAACAAAGTGTTATGTAAAATTGTAAATGAATAGGTTTACAAAAAAAATACTTGAAATATGAACAATATATTTTTTGACGAGATTGTAAAATATCTTGATATAATCCGCGAACAGACTTCCCATAATTTTTTCTTTTCAAACATTTCGCTTTTAGTGCAAACACTTTTGTAAGTTGGCGCGTCGACCTTTTCGTGCAAGAACATTATTAAGCGCGTAGCCACTTGCCTGTGATCGCCGACACTGATTCATTCCTTCTTAAACTTGTTTTATCATAGGCACTGCTGCTAACTTATCCTCTTTTAGAGCTGTGGCACTTTTGTCCTGAAAGGCTGTTAACTGTTTTGATTTCAAAAATATTAGCTACATAATATTGGCTTACCCCAAAATGGAGTCATGTTCTCCACCTTGAATTTTTCAGCCTTTTTTCTATAAAACCTACATATTCCTATTGTGCCTAAAGAATGTCTGATCATTTAACGCCATCCCAACGCTTTTCACAAAAAAAAAGAGGCTGATCACCGAAAAATCCGAATGATTCTTTTCCCCTCTTATCGTTTTCGCATTTCCAGCAACTTTAATTGTTTAACCCTTGTAAATGCCCAAGCTCACTTTATGTTTCAATCATTTATTCACAAACCCATAAACATGCACCCGCAAGTTCACTTTTTTGATGTAATCTGAAGCGCTAGCAAACAACAGTTTAAATTTTTAACACTCAGGCGCAATATCATTGGCTTACTTAGCCATTGTAAAGTTTCCACGTTCCATAATGTCCAACACCAGCTCCGGTTTCAAAAGTGTCTTCACGCATCGTTACCGACTGAAACTGGTAAGTGAAAGCAACCCCAAGCGCCCTCAAAAAGCCTAAGATCATACACCTTTTTCGCATCCTACTGCCTACACGTATACTCCTTTTGGCACGGTTTGTTCTAAGACACAACTTTGCCTATGACTGTCAGACAGTTTGTCAGACAGACATCTAGAATTGAACGCACACACCAGAGGGCTGCACAGCTCACACAAGCCGCGATGTCTATATATATGCAATGAAAGGAACATATTTATTGACTGGTGATCGTTTGGCGGGGGTAATTGCATCCATGCGTTGATTAGTGCCCGAAATATCTGCGACTTTCCGTAACGCCACATCGGACAAAGATAGAAGAGTACATGGGATTATGTAGGTGTGCGTGTGTGACGTTCTCTGAGGGTAGGTGGGGGGGGGGATAGGAAAGAAGGGGCAAAATGTACAAAAAGGAGAAAACCAAAAAGATGTCTTCGTTGCCGTCGTCGTTGTTGTTGTCACAGAAACACAGACACAGAAGTAATGGCGATGGGCTGTTGGTGGTGGAGGAAAGCACAACGGGTTCGGCGGACGGCCGAGTTCAAACGCGATCAGCTCGTGGTGCTCGAGTGACGCGACGTGTAAATGGGCTCGTTTGTTGCGTTGGGAGAGACGGTTGACTGTTTGTTAATCTTCGCTCGTTCTTCCGGCGGCAAATTCGGTTTGTTGTATTTCAACCAGGGCAATTTTTCGTCAAAGATCTGAAATAACAAAAAGGCATCAAATCGCTGAGTTGCTTGTGTTTCGACAGACGCTGTGAGCAAGTTGACCTCCACTGACACTTAAGCTGAAACCAGGTTATCTCAATGATCGCGGTGAAGACCAGCGCCATCCATCGGTAACCACGCCGATCTCAGTAAGAACCTGAGTGTTGTTTATGTCCAACTGATACCACTTGAAGACCCGCATGTCTACGTCAGACGCGGTTTCGGGGAAGGGGGGGCAAACCGTGGGTTAGATTTGAGTGGTGGTGGTGGTGGTGGGGAATCATTGACTAACCTTGGTGTCGCCCCCAGCAGACTTTTGTGCAGAACATTGCAAGGAACCGACTTGAGACTTTGCCTTCTCGCTAAAGTCCAGTTTGAGGGTCTCTATCTACATGGGAAATCGGCAGCAGCTATTAAAGTACCACAAGGGGAACAGACATTCCCCACCCGTGGTACGCATTTCCTGACTCTCCCTCCCTAATTTCAGAAAATCAGTCAGTTCTTAGTGGACAGATGATAGCACATGGTAAAACTGAATTTCTTGCATGAGGCCCACGTTTGACCAATCAAATTGGTTGAGGCCCGCAATCAACCATACACAAAGGGCTATCGAACAGCATTGACTAAAATAGACGAATTCTGAATTCAACTGTCACAAATACACAGGTAGTTTGTCGGCGTCAACAGGCATGATGTACATCTTCAGTGGTTTTACGATTGTAGGCCAAGTTTAGACGATAGAATATGCGGTTTTAGTGAACGTGTGTTCATTGGGAAGCGGTTTCCACGGTTAACAAGACGACTCGATTGGGCAACAAGGCTGGCCGGTTGTGTTCAAACAAGTTAGTCTGGCGTACACTGAACACCCACAACAATAAGGTCTAGATTGAAAATGAAAATCCAATCCCATCAGCCAATCGACATTCACTCCACGAACCCTAGCCGTTGATTGGTGCATGAAAATGTGTTAAGAACCAATCAGGGTAGAGGAGACACGTTACTCACCTTGACATTTCCGCCTCCGGGAACGTGTTTAGCATTAGCAAAAGAATTCACGCGGGATTTACCTTCTTCCTTGAAGGTGAGCTTGTTGTCCACGATTTGTACATCGCCACCACCTTTGGAAGCAGAAAGTTGTACTAACGGTTAGGCTCATCTCGCCTTCCTCGGGAGGGGCAAATTTACATCGCAATTTAATGCCACTCAAATGGTAAAAGCTAAAGCTACAAACAATTACTGCGAACAATGATCTCACCCGGTTTGTATTTCAGATTTGCCTTGGAGTTGCATTTGCTTTGGGCATGGCTGTAGTCCGCCTTGGTACTTAGGATTTTCACCTTAGCGTGCAACAGAAATGACGTCACGATAATGGCAAAAAATCGTTCATTAATTGCACTAAAATGTCAAATTTACATTTCCGCCTCCCGGTTTGTAGTTTGCGTTAGCTAGGGAACCAATCTTGGAAGTTATCCTTCGAGGCTGACCTGAGGTGGGAATAAAAACTGTCATCACAAAGTGCTACTCATAATATGTAAGTAGTAATTAAATTTGGTCGTACCTGATGAGGAGAAGGCCTGAAACACAACGGAACAAAGAGTGACTCAAACACGCAAACTACGAGAAAATGATCAAAATGAGCAAGCTAAAATCTACAAACGAAACCGAGAAGCCAATTTGGAAACCCTTTTGGAGTTTCGACATAGTGGACAGAAATTAAGGCTGTCATAGACATGGCGTGTGCAAATTGATCTGAAGTTTCAAGTTCCTTGACTGGAACAAAATTAACCAATGTGCAAGGCATATCCACCGACCACTTGTGGTCAACTTTTAGGTTTATTTCATTTGGCCTCGATTGGAATAAAGACCAATCAGTGGACGGCAGACTTGTTGGTTCACCTGATGCTCCTCGCGCACACAAAAGATTAAGACGCCAAACGTCGGCGCTTGGATGTTCCACCGCCACCACCACCGCCGCCGGGGCCGAAAGAGGACGGCGTGCAACACGTCACCGCCTTCCTCTCGCGATCTCACAAGACATTAATCAAAGCACGCGCACGCACGAACCACCACCTCCACGGCACTTGAACGGCCTCGTTGCACAGCGCCTAACCGAAACACGCCAGTCTTGACTTCTCTCTGCTATGGTTTCGTTTAAGCTGCTGTTATTTATAGATGCTAAAGGCGAATTTGTGTGAAGTCTCATCGCCTAAGCGTCAACTTTGATCAGATCGATTTCTCACAACACCCAGAGCGTAAATGAGGCATGTGGACGAGATTTGAGGAGCAGTCGACGGAGAAGGTGGATGGGAAAGAGCAAGCAGTGAGAACTTACGCTCGAGTGTTCTGATTCGCTGTCGCCTCGAAGGGGATCTACAAGAGACACGGGAGATAAAAGACAACCATCAGCGCGCCCGCGTGCACACACTCCACACACCGCTGGGTCACGTGACACCCTGGCCTAAACAATAACCACGCAGCCTGTTGGTTAGCCCGGAAAAGCCTGTGCGTGGCGGTTAAGTGGCCAAAACAGGCCAAGTGGGAAGAGGTTGGAGTAACAAGTGTAGAATGGTTTGAATAGAGCGTAGGCAAGCATCAAGCAGGCGCACAAGCACCTTACGACTTTTGACGCTTCCAGCGAGTGCGTGCTACCGCGCGAAGCCGATTCCTGACACACGACAGCCCCGCACCAGCTGTTTACACTTGCCTGTCACCAGGAGAGCTTGTCAGCCCAAAGGTGTGCGGGGAGGTGAATTGCGTGTGACCGTGCGTTCGCTTTGCCCGCTGGGGCTGGGAGTTGGAGGTGTCGTGCGGCACTGAGGTCGCTCGACGCTGATCCGACTGTAGACGTTGGCCCAATTCGAGCACATTCGCCGCAAACCCGACACACTGCAATTTCTCGACACAGCAATTACAAGGTGTCGCGTTCGACTGTACGCGGTCATTGGCGTGACAAACTGAAACGCTATTTTACCCGGTAATTTTGTAGCTCCGCACCCAACGATGGCTGTCGGCAATCAAGCACCGACGACGCCTAATTTGCCGCAATGAGACGACAGTTTTTTGATGTCGCGAAACCCACACACGCGCCGAAAAAGAGGCTAGTTTTTAGGACGATTGGGTTGATAATTCAAGTGCTCAACAGATCACCCTCGTGTGAGCAGTGATTGTACGGGACATGCAACGCACTCCGAAACAATCAAGACCTTTGAGAATAAGCCTGGTTTAACCTGCTAGATTCCACGCACACACATACACACATGCACACAAAGTGTTTGGCTGGTGTGTGCGTGCGAGCGTGCGTGAGTCAACGCCCAGTAGTGCTGGCCATTGTGTAAATGAGGGCTTTGTTAAGTGGTATACTTTTGTGCCAGCCAACGTGCCTTCACACGGTGTCCAAGCTGAACCATGACACACGAGCCCATTGGCTGCAAGGACGTGCCGCTTCCGAACCCTTATTGGCCAGTTATGTGGGGACTAATCAGAAGAAGACAAGCGGACCACCAGATCCTGGCCGTCCGACTTGCCTCAATGAGTTCTCTGAGTAAACGACTGGTGACCTGATCAGCGATTGGTGCAACGACCTATCGAAAAACGCCCAGCAACCAATTTTGTAAATTCGGAGACAACGACGCTGGTTTATGTGACAGCACGCACACACACAATCATGTATACGCGTGTAAATGCCATGCCCGATTGATTAATAACAACGCAGAACACACGGATACCGCACTAAACACGACCGGCCCACTAATGTAGGTGGCAGCAGCAAGCCAGAGGAACACTTTGTGTGGAGAGGGAAACGTAACAACCGATCTGGAGGCACGGCATTTACCCACACGTGAACGCATTCCCTGGGCATTGGCAAAACAGGTGTGAGTGTTTAAATGGGCTGAACCACTAAAAGCAACACAGCATGCCTTAGGCCACAAACAAGCAACCTGACACGTAATCGATTACCACGCGGGGAGGTAATAATGGCTATTTGTGCGCAAAGCAGCAGCAAGTGCGACAGGTGATTGGCCAGCCTGTTTTCCACTTCAATTGCGCGCTCGCCCGCGCGCGCGAACACATACATTAGAGGTTTGTCAGCTTTAAGGTCAGGTGGGGTGTGTTTGTGCACGATGTGTTGACACCTCCAACGACCACCTGCGTCCGGCGCACCGAGCATCTGTCCGTCTCGGCACAAATTTCGCTTTACGCACAAAAGGCGGCAGAGGACCAATCGAAGTGGGTTTGGCCGGTTGAACGGACAAAATGACGCCGCACGCCTCAATCACTCCACACTAGGGGTTGGTGATAAGCAGCACCAATTCCTCACCCATCCCAGCAGATCAGGCAATGAGAAAGTTACTCCCACCAATACGACGGATTCTCGTCAGCTGACCGGATTGAGCCTCTTAATATTTGAAGAACACTTGCCTACACCTTCAGTGCTACAACCCCGAGTTTGCCGATGACACTATTATTACTCCATCCGATCTACCAGCGCTTAGACGGTCATGTGAAATCACGGAGAATCCTACATCCATCGATACTACGACACCAGTAAGGACGTCCGCAACCCACTGAAACGCGTTTCCACCAAGCCCACCAAACCAAATAGGATTGAGTGAAGTGGCCGAAATTGTTCCACGCCCGGGCCATATCGCGCACACAACGCACTACTCAGAAACCTCTCTCCTTCAAGTGCCTACTACGATATTACTGACCTGGTGGAGATGAGACGAGCCAGTGTGACGATCCCGGCCCGTTCAAATTGGATCCTCTGGTGTGATGTAATTATATGTGTTACCAAACCAAACTACGAGTCGATTTGCATCGGCATATTGTCACAAAACACCCACAATGCAAGGCTGGACGTCTGGCAAATTGATTCGCCCGTAAATTTGGCCACAGTGGATGGATCAAACCGAAATAAGAACAATACGACTCTAAACGAACAAGGCCGCACAAAGCACCGTCAACAGCAACTGGAAAGCCAAATTTTGACGCAAGTAGCTACAATCCGCTGGTCTAGACGCTGAGAATAGCCAACTTACCCACGGAAGCAGCCCTTCCATATCGGTATCCCGCACCGTTGCCACCGCCGCCGGCACCGTAGTAACCAGGCAAGCTCTCGTCCCCAAAGGATTCAGCCCGAACGCCGTTTCTCCCGCGAGGACTCACAGTAATGGGTGTCGTGGGGGTTTGCTGGGTGCTGGAAGCACCCTCTGAGATTGAGGGACTGACTGAGTAATGCCCGTCGCCGCCGCCACCACCGCCGTTATTAGCCGAAGGTCTGCCAGGACGCCGGTAGGGAATGGCGTAGCGGGGTATGCCCGTTCGAGGCCGGGACGCGGCTGCAGCAGAGCCGTTCGTCTGGAGGCTCAACTGAGCCATGTGGGAGGTCACGTTGGAGGTGTCTGAAGACGGCTCCATCGGGACGTCGGCAGGGACCGTCGATGGGAAATCGGTGACTGTGGCGAGCGCGTGCTTGGTTCGCTGCAAGGCAAAACACACGCACTACACTGGGTGGGGGTGGGGTGGGGCGGACATTTCATTACGGGGGAGAAAGCACATTCTTCAACTGAATCACGCCTCGAAGATTAACGAAGAAGTTAATTGAGGGATTATTCATCACTGGCCGTGTGCGCGTGCGTTTGTGTGAATTATTTCGCCCGAGACGCACGCGGCCAAAACGCACGGTTGCTACGCCCAACTGCGATTGCGGAAATTACGACATTCCACCGGAGTTGCAGGTTACCACTTCGGTGCTCAAAATAACTTAACTGGTCCGAAACCTCGGCGGGGATTTGGGAAGGATAGGGGATCATTTACCGCAATACGCAAGTAGAGGAACAGGTGATAATGCCACTCGATCGTACACTTGGTGACCACATGCCACCAGAATTACGGGGTAGGAAACCGGTTTAAAACAGCTCGAGCAAGACCGCGCCCAAGGGGGTCGGGTGTCCTCAAGGCCAATGGCTTGTCCAATCAGGAAATTGTCAAGATGACGAGCGAATCCCTAATCTTCAAGGTCTTACTCAAGAGTCAACGCAAGCGCCATTAGCAGAATATAGGTCAGATGTCGTCAACCTCGTGTCCACAAAAAAGAGGGGAAGGTACAGGCCGGGAGTTGCTGGCCGTAATCAAATGAAAACGCAACGATAACCAGTGTAGTGGCACCCACACATTTACGCTAAAGCTCAGTGGGAAATTCAGCGGCGTTAATAACCCCCTTTTACAATTAGCGAAAGACCTATCTGTAATCAATTGAGTGAATTGATTTCACAGTGAATGTAGAGTAAGTAAAAATGTGATTCGTCTTCGAAAAAATGCCTATTTTGTGGGAATTAACGCAAATAAGGCTTTACTTGTGCGAGTGGATCCTCGCAGCTAGAAAACGTCGCATTTTGGACCGAACTGACTTCACCAGAAAGACGGCAAATTTGAAAATGATTTGATTTGTGTGAAAACGGAATGAAAGTGGATGAATGCAAATTTCTTTTGCTGGGTTCTTCATTTGATCAGTGAGTTCTGGACCAGACGGTGTGTACTCAGAAACGGCGCAAACGGCCGCAGTGTCAGCTGAATGGTATTCCTCAATTACACGGATTCAGTTCAGCAGCTGCTAGACCGATAGCTGGATATACGACGGGTCCTCACTACTAATTGTGGCCTCCCTTTGGTCACGAAGTCTAGTCTCTGAAGCCAGACACCATCACCGGCCGACAATGGAACCACCATCACAACACCGTGATTCCAGGTTGCTAGCGTCCAAATTTCGTACTAATTGATGAGGTTATCCAACTGATTCAATGCGTTTAAGCGTGGCTATGAAAACGCAAGAATGGCCGATACTACAGTTGTCCTGGGGTCGTTGTACCAGCTGATAACGAACTCACCAGTGTGGATAATTCTGGCCGAATAGTGAAAGCAGGCTCCGGTTGAATTAGCGGCAAGGCAACCGTTGCCAACACAGAAAAAAAGACATTTGCCAGCTCAGCAAAGAGATCGGTTTTCCGAACAATTCGATACACCGTGAGTATGCACGGCCTAACGACTCTTTCACACCAGAATCTACAAGGCATGTCTATTCGCTTTGAAAAATATAGCAGCCAAATCAGACTCGCATGATGATGAATGTCTAGTGGAGGCCTGGGGCTGATTCAAGACGCATCTAAAAGGCATACACTGAGCAGCACGCTATGCATGATCAGGCACGTCTCAACGCGTGCGTGGTTGGCTTGGCCATGCCTTCTTCAGTTTCGCTCCAAAAACACACACCGGACAATCCGCTTCAAGTAAGAGTGTTTGTGAAACGGATTAGTTACCGTGGGAGCGAAATGGCAGCCACCGCAAAAACGCACGTCCGCTGTTTAAGTGCACGGAAGTACAAAGACCTGAAGTGGCGTTGACGACACACATCGCGCGGTGTGTTCTGTGAATAAGCAGCCGTGGGGGTGACGAAACCAAGCGGCAGCAAAAACAATCTTGTCAAAAAACCGAGCGAAACCCTCGGTGAAACGGGGAAAGAGGAGGGCGAGGAGGATCGGCCAGCGAATGACGAATCACGGAGATAAAAAATACTGCAGCGTTTTTAGACCACACTGATGTGTCATGCCTGGGTTGCACTGCGCTGAGTCAGGACGCCTTTATTTACGCTAACGAACATCACTGGACGGCAATTACAGTCTTTGAATTGGGTTACACGTTGGCATTGTGACTAGTTATACCTAAACACTTCACAATCCCACGTGCAACTGAATGGTAGAGAGCATCACACGATGGTTTTTTCGCTGAAAGAACAATTAGATTAATCGTCGCATCTGTTAAGACCTCTGGGGTTAACTTGTATCACCATGAGGCGCATCAATTCTCGATGCCGTTGCGCCGATCCAAATCAAAGGTATCTGATAGCACCATTTGAGTCATTAAGTACATGTCGCCAACAGCCTGTGACAAGTATTCATTACTTTTACTCAATAAGTTGCTACCCACGACCTTTCAATTACTGGCCGAAAATTCCGTCTATTTGGGACCGGCCGGGAGGCCGAGAATTTGATTCAGTTGCCAATGCAAGCAGTGATTACTCACGGAACCATCCCATTAAGAGAGGCGTTAATCTGCGCGCAGATAAAAAAACAGCCAGTCATTCTGTGCCCGACCTGTGAGGTGGGGGCCGTCGCTGATATCCCCCGCAGTGAATGACTCATCCCACCTTGGCCGAGTGTGTCAATCATGAAAAAAAAACACTGTCGGAGGAAGCCGTCCAATGCTACCAGTTACTGACGTTGAAACATGAGCAACATCGGCCGCTACAGGCAGAGGGGAAGCAGTGAACCGAGCTGCATTGGGAGTAATCACGTGACGCGAAAGAAACCGGTTTTCGAGGAAGTCAGCAGAGGGGAATACCACAGCACGAATCAATCACCGATCCAAAAAAAGGCGCAAAGCAAACGCTTCGTTTGTGTTTGGGGGAATGGTGAGTGAGGATTTTTATTGCTTGGCGTGTACACACACACACACGCTCGTGGTGGTGACTCATGCGTGCAGGGTGGCTGCTGTTTGGAACGCGGATTTGGGCAAATGTGTCACCGAATCAGTGAGGTCATTTGGGGTCAAGCAAATTAGCGAAAAGCCATGTAAAACAAGTCCGGGCGGCAGGAAATGTCAAGGGGAGAGGATGGCCCTTGCGTCACACGGATTCGCAAATAGACGCCAAGGCGACGACGACGACGACGCTGGCCAGGGAGCCAATCAACTCAGCTTCTTCGCCAAACACCGATTTCGAGGAATGTGGGTTCGCTTAGTGTGGTGTTTCGATCCTGCGCAAACCCCTGCCTGAACTGTCCCACGTCGACCATCACCGTGAGTCGACGAAGCATACCCCTTGATTGGAACTCCACCCATGCGTAGAGCAGGCAAGCTCATCAATTACTTTCAAAACAAACACACGCCTTACCATACCACTGTCGCACTTTGGCGACACCGAAAACCACGGTAATGCTAATTTGTAGACTGTGTGTCGGCGTGGAGGCAATAAACCAACGCTATACACTAGGGCTCAAATGCAAAACCTGAACATCACGTGGACCACATCGCAAAGTACACAGACTCAATGGCACCAAGGTGTGTTAAGCTAGTCTACAACAAGCCGATTACACCACCCGTCAAAAGACACACCACCTGACGCAATTATTCGGTGCGTATTGTCTGTGCACCAATATGTCGCTCGGACTATCTAATCATAAATAAAACAGCAGCGACAAAGGGCACCCATATTTACAACTGATTTCGCATGCACAGTTTGGCGAATAGGCACGTGACTGCATCGGCCACAATCGTCTGCAACACAAGCACCGAAGCAACAATACTTTTTTTTCATTTTCTTTTACCATCGTGGGGTGCATTGGGAAAGGACAGTGGGTGCTAGGAGCGAACATTGTCGCGGATCTTCTCTAAAGCTTTAACGATGTCAAGTGTCAAGTTGACAAAACAACTGCACTTCCAACACCTCTTCGTGCTGTTTGGGAATTTTGTGTGGTCTGTGGGGGAAACGCCACACACACACACTTCAAAGCGGTGCTTTCCACCTCAATGCAACACCCCTCCACAGTCATGCGATTGGCTGAAATTGGGGGCATCTATTTGATGCCGTGATTGTAAAAAAATTGAACAACATATGATCCAGCCCCGAAAATACATTGGCTGACAGAATTTGTGTACAATGCTGAAGGTCCACAACGCCAGACATCCCCGGCTGCGCCTCGTAGACGCGAACTGGTGCTGAAATGTAGCGCGGGAACTCAAAGTACTATGTTTAGGTATCGACCTCAAGCCAAACTGATTCGAGCTGATTTTCAGAAGCACATACACACCGGGTTCCACGCACCCAAGCTAAACCTGGAGTCGCCGTGTGAACAAGTGACTAGTGCGAGCACAGGCACATGTGGGTGAAATAAAACGCCGCCGCACCACACTTGGGAGGGCGTCGCATGCACTAAAAACCATCTGGATGTGAGAAATTGTGGGTGTCGGACATGCTGCTTCGAAGGCTGAGCACTAACAGGGTTCATGTTTCGACAACGCCTCAAACGGTAGATGGGAGTGGCTTTCGGCAACCATCCCCCCACCCAGAATCGCACCACATACCCTGTCGGAGCAAAATTTCCAACAAAATTTGCTGTTGGATGATCGTGGTGATAAACAGGACCCAGATAATTTGCAAGGGTAGATCTGTTAATGTCACGAAGTCAATGCGCTACACTACTGGCAGACCACCAGAAGTAGTGAAACAATCTGGTCAATTTTTGACAAAACACACGGAGACTCAGCCCGACTGTCTTGAGACTGTTTACCAGTGTAGCTGGAAAAAAATTTTAATCAGAATGGGCTCGCAGATGCATTCGGCACACGCAAACCTCCAAAGCACGCGAAGGCAACCAACGAGGTAGCGTTGTACCAAAGCGATTCCTCAAACGAGCCAATTAGGACGCGGGTACGGCTGTGACCTTGGGGCAGGGAAAATGTTTTGAGGAGGGAAATACACGAGAAATTGCATCGTGGTATCCATAATGAGGGCAAACGACAGCACGACTTCACACGCACAAACAAAAAATTGAAAGGATCGCCACCGACGTGGCGTGTTGGGAGGGCTGGCTCAGGTTTAATTCTATGAAACCTGCACAACAACATAAAAAAGGCACACGCTAACGGGAGCCTGAATGTGAATTTGATGAGAAAGACATCGAAACGGCATCCGCTGTATGATAAATGCGCATACTCCTGCTGCTCCATCGGTACAACCCAAACATGACTGCAGAGAAAT